CCATAGCTACAGTAAGCTGCTTTTGCAATGCTTTCGTTCGCTCGCTTGTTGCTGATTTGCGAAGTTCTTTATGAATACTGTATGTACAAAAGCAAGTTACCAAGGAGCTTATCATTTGCGGAAAATAGAACATCATTACAGTCCAGAACGGTTCATAAATTGTTATCTGAAAAGTAAGCTGAGGTTGATTAATTAAGATCCAATTCTGCCTCCCTCCCCTCCCTCCCTAGGGGCCGTACAAGATCCATTTCAATACACCTTGATGTGAGTCCTGGATTCTTCGCACCTAGACTCCCGCGTTTGATTGAACAAGTCTCACCTGAGAAATTTTGGGGACGTTAAGACCGGGATGGGAAAGCAGGTTGAAGGATGGGGATGAAGAAGGGAGAGGGTGCAACTATTGCTAGAACGACCGGAAAAATCAAATCAACAGCACTGCCAGGATTTTTCGGGAAAACATCGGTTTAAAAAGGAATACTGGAAAGAGGTACAAGATGAGGACGGTGGAGAAGAAAACCTTGGATGGATAATTTTCTAAAATTGCCGCATTTTTACAAACCTACTAGTAATCCGAATTTTCTTAACCTCTTTTTTTTTTTCAGCGAAAAGCAAACCTTTCGTGTGGAGCGTTTCAATACATAGTGATTCTTGTCGTATGTGATTTCCACTCCTCGCAAGTAGAGGAACTCTTCGAGCACAATCAACAAGCAGAAGAGCAGTATTGCCAATGACATGAATAAATGATATCTCTTGGACAGTGTCGCATTTTGCTTATAACTTAAAAAGCCTCACTATGAAAACCCTTCTTATGCACCAAGGAACATTACTGGAATTGCTCCGGATGTAGACGCTTCATGATAATTAAGTTATCACTTGAAGCTACATGCTTTTATACTACATTTGATTGTGTAGATTGTTTGCTGTCTTTACTGATCCATGTTTAGATTGTGTACAGCATTTGTCTGATAGAACTGTTCGCCTTCTTGGTTCCCGGAGTATGGCTATAAAATTTACTAAGACCAAATAGCTATCAAAATGGAATCTTTTATGAAATCAAAATTCAGTATTTTGTTTAGTCATGTTGTTTTTTTTTGGAATTTTCAATTTTTCAAATAGAAATAAATTATTTTGCAATGCTACAGTAAATCTGGAAAGGAAAGATAGAATAAAGAAGAAAATGAGGAGAAATGACTGGCAAAAGTTCAATATGATCATTAAGTGCAAACGTATTTAGCTCAGTGCTGCAACTGAACCTCGTCAGAAAAACGGTTACAATGCAAACTTCGAGGGAGACTGACGAAAGAAGAAGTGTGCGAGAAAGTCTTACCCGCATATCACAAAATAGCGATACAAAAATCCAACTGTAAGAACGAAATTTGTTGAGAAATCAAATACGTCTCTGGACAAAAATACGAAATAGAACAGAACTGCAGGATAGTACGAATCAAAGCCTGTGGTTACTGCCGTCCGCACAGGGGCATTCACGTATTTCTGAAGGCAGACCTTAGTTTACAATTTTCTGAATTCAGGGAAGAAAATCAGTAGCAAAGCCAATCGCCAGTTTAGTGAGCAGAAAGGCAAGCAAAAAAGACTGGCAAATAATCAAATAAGGAAAAATTTTGATATTTTGAAAAAACCTACATATGGTGTAAGAAATGTGGTGAAACTGGAGCTGAATTGAATTGCTGCTGCAATCAAAATAATCCAGCGATATGGCCCCAGCAATTTTCGAGCTTTCTTGCAGTGCAACAGTACAATAACTGCCATATTTGCAATCATCGAAAGGCTGTTTGCAATGTCATAATTCACTTCTATTAGTTTAGTCAGCATCACTGTTCCGTTGAAGAATTTAATTTGATGCTAAAAAATTTTACATATTTTTTTAGTAAAAATGATTATTTCACCATTGCGTTTCTTTTCGCCAATGGTCCAACTGGCAACTTTTCCATCCTTCTCTCTCATTCGCACATTTCCGCTAAGCATTAAAATTAGTAAGTGCAACTTGCCAAGAATACCAAGATTTCTCGGACTATCAGTAAGGGTATCTCGTATTGATGATGCTATCATATGCTGAGTGCACTGATTCAGGTCCTTCTATTTTGGGCTGCATGGTCTCTCTTAGCACCCACTGATGTACCATCTCTTCAGGAACAGCCCGAGTGGTCATTTACTTGCTCGTGGATACCGTTCACTAATGCGACACGAAGTTAATTTATACGACTTTGACCAGCTCCTGCTGATTCTTTCTGGTGCATCTTCGTCTCATCAAAGAAGGTCTGCTTTTACCTGGACATTTGTAAATTAATCAGTATCCTGGTAGTCCTAATCTGTACCCACGACAGAATCGTTTTCTTCAAGGAAGATGCTGTAGCCACTGACTTCACTGATAGTTTTGTCAGCTGAAATCTGTTACACCAGCAACAGCCAACTGTTGGCAGAGCTGTCAATTGCCCCTTTCTTTCAAGATTTATTTATAAGCAACCTGCTGGTGGGTTTGAATACCTGGTATCGTCAGTACCAATTTATCATCACAAATTTACGAATAGTATAGGGACTGGCTTCCCACCGACGAAGTGGAACTTCAAGCTATTCTGCGCAAAAACCGCGCTACTTTCCACTTCGCTATATCCGCCGGTTTCTAATAAGAACGCGTTGACTTAATGAAAGTACTGAACGAATAAGCGTCTTAGTTAAATATCAGTCATCACTTATATAGTGGTCACCTCATTAGCTTACCTATTCATTTTTTGAATTCCCTTTGGATCTGAAGAACTGTAGAATGAGCGAAAAATTGGAGAGCTATTGTCACACGTATCCTTGTATCTTTGACATTTGGGCATCTTTGTGAATGTATCCTTTTCTGTTATAAATTTCTAGATGCTTCCACGCTTTTTGAAATTATGCGAAGATGAAAAGCCACAAAGTACTGCAAGTAAACAGGATGAATATGTACTTACACTGCATGGCTTTTTTTCGTAAAGCTATATTCTCAAGAAATGAAGTGCAAGCTAAAAAGTATGACAGCGCGATTATAATTTCAGAACCAGCCGGACAATTAGTTTGGACATCTCATGCTGCGGTGCTACGTTAATGCTCCCGAAATCTTATTTTTTTTAAAAATAAGAGACGGGATATAAGAAGCTTTTCTATCTGTATACTTCTCCTAGAGGCTGTTGAATGTAGTACGTAAAGTTTATTTTCTCATTCAGATTACAATTTATTTGATCACTACCGATCTAACTGTCAACTTCTTCCAATTCAGCGAAGTATGTGTGTGTCTGTTCGGCATATCGGAACTTTACATCATCTTTGTTTTTGGCATTTCCATTCACTTTTTCAGTCGGTTTGTTGAGTTCTTGCAATATCCCAATCGTTTCGCATGCACTGTTAGCAATAAGAACTATGTCATCTGCAAAAAGTAAATGTTTCGA